GGCCACGACGGCAAAAGCACGTCCGGAACCCAAAGGGGTGACCTCCGGGAGCTTCTCGCCATCCTCATCTACTGTGAGGAGCGGATGCGGTGGCGTTTTCTCGCCGGCCCTTGGATCCGTGGGCGGCGGATGTGGTGTGGCCAGCTCATTCTCGGGATGAGAGAGAGCTGGAGGCGGTGACTCTGCTGCGGGCACTGTGCTGGGCAGCGAGAGTTCCTCGAGGGGTCCGAGGTCAATGAACTCGGTGGCCGCGCTCTGGATACTGGGTGCCGGTGTGCTGTCCGGACCCTCCCCCTCGCTTGGTCGCGGGGTGGCTGGGTCTCCGGCTGGTCCTGGACTGCGGATGGTGGAGTTCCCGGACTTCGAAGAGCAGCGGCTGCAACTGCTGCAGCTCGACGAGCTGGATGAACTGGAGCTCGCGGAGCTGGATCCGATCTCCACAGTCGGATGTGCCTGCGGGGTCAGGACCCGTCCGGAAGGTTGATCCACGGAGGTATCCTCCGGGAGTTTTTCCTCACTTTCTCCAAGTGGGACGCTGCCGCTCACCAATTCCAAGGGAATGGGAGGGATGATGAACCTGACCGCTGACAGGTGGTGAGCCGGTGTCAGCGTGCAGGTGTGCAGGGCCGCGGCAAAGCCGGGATGTTTTCCTCGATACTTCGTATCTCAGAGAGCCAGGGTCTTACAGGGTCCCAGTAGTCCTGGAGGTAAATGGGGGCCTCTCTGGCCGGTTGGGACTGCGGTCCCTCTGGTCGAGGCAGCCTCTCGAGCACGACGACTGGAGACAGGGGTCCTCGCTGCGGCGGGTCCTGGGCGCCGTCGTCGTCGTGGTCAGGGAGAACCATGTCCTCCAACTCTACCGGAATTCCTTCCGGGAAGAGGATGCTCTCCAGAGCTACCTCCGCGTTGCGGGCAGCTCTCTGCTGGCTGGTGAGGAGACTGGGCTCTTCTTTAATCTCCTGCCCTGGGGGAGATGATGGCGGAGTGCTCTCCGTCAGGTCCACGGCTGGAGCGGCGTTCTCGGCGCGTGGAGCTGGTGTCTCTGTGATGGTGGTGGTCTGTAACAGAGAAGCAAAACCGGAGAGTTTGTCCGGACAGGTGGCCACCCAGAAAGGGGGAATTTATTGGCGACTCCCGCTTAGCGGGGCGATTATGGGCCGTAAGACTATTGCGGAAGCCGGTACCCGAAGGTTACGGAGCCGGTACTGGAGGTTGATAGGGCTTTAAGTCCTGTATGGCGGACTCGCCCTGAGCTTTCCCGGAAAAATCCACAAGTTCATACCGAACTCGGGATACCTTTCTATTAATCATGAAAGGACCCTCGAATGGAGGGACCAACGCAGCTGAAAAATGTTTCGCCGCATTGGATAATGGGTGAGTGCGCCGT